TGATGACGTAATATACGGCTGATGACCCTAATGTCGATGGGGATACTGATGAAGAGGAATAAAATATTGTTGGTGATGATAAAGACAGCATTGAGGCTAATAAAACGATGCTGAAAAAGGAAAGGTATTCTGTTCAGGTTGTTCTGACGATTATAATAGGCTTGATTAAGATGATGATGAGCGTAATCCCGATAAACGCATGTAGTGATAATGAAAATAACCTAGGAACCGGATGAAGTGATTAGGACAACCTACCATAAATTTAAAAACTGTTGAGGACAACTTTTCACAAAACTGTAGCATGCACCGAACATAAAGTGCAGGCCAAAGTTTCCAAAAATTGACAAACTTTAGTTAGAATTGGTCAGACCCATTTCTCGTGGCACGACTTCAAATATTAACTACTCGTGTTACTTTAGTAGCTAGTTGAATGAGTAGCACGATTCAAATGCCACTTAATTGTCAGTCGGGAAGTTAATTATTCTAACGGATTCCTCCATGTTTTGTGACACTTGCAGGTGATTTCCTATAATACAGTGCATCGGTACTCCGTGGCGCTGATATGTTAAAGTTTGGGTTGCTAAGGTGAGAGTGAGTTCTAAGGTAAGATATCCACTTTAGTGGATATCTTACCTTCGGTCAATGCCATTGAGCCATGAGCACTTTCCGCTTACTTTGATTAGACAACTGGCTTCGACTTTGGTTTGCTCGTTAATCCTACGAAATGGACAAGAGTTCATCAATCGTGTACCTGCTACGCGACAAATATATTTAAGCTATTTTTATTCACGTTCTCGTGGTGACCATGGTGTCTTTATTTGTGTAGAATAATGTACTCACCTAGTTACAAGGCACTCACCATGCTCTCACCGTGAGGGAGACAACACACAACACAACAGCCGCATTTTAAAAAGGTGCATAAATTTAACACCAAGGAAATATCACAGGTGCTAAAATGATTAAATATTTTTTTCATATTAAACAGATATGAGTGCTCCAGGACCACAGACCATTCGCGATTCGGTGCTACTGGAAGAGGACTGTACTCTGAACTGTTGCAAATAGTTTAAGTTGCGTGACTAGCAAACAGCGTCCAAGTGATCACGACAAAAGTTTTCAATCGTCAGATCAGTGTGTAAGTTTGACTGTGTGTGTTACGCTGGCTGAAATGTCAAATTTTACTCACAAATCATTGATTTTTGCAAAATTCATCTTCAGCCACATTTTTGTAAGCAACGACAGAGGAGAACACACGTTCCTCATTCATCCTCAGTATTGTCACCAATGCCAGCTCACTTTCCTACGACCATATCATTTTATTTGAACAAAGCCCAGTGATGTAAAGAATAAAAAAGTGGCATGGGGGAAATGAGGCCAGCTCAAAGCAAATATCCGAGGAACCTATCACCTCGAACCCTCAGTCAGTCCGGATAGAAACTGAGAATATAAGGGCCACTGGAACCGACTGACTGCCATTTCATTCAGTTCTTAGCCAAGCGTAGAAAGTTTCATGTGAACCCGATCCAGAAAGACGAAAAGAATCGAAGCCACTCGGGCGTTTCGTGAAATTCTTCAATTCCTTCTGCAATGTCGAATTATTTTCACAATTAGCTTTCCTCCATTCTGAGTTGGGCATGGAACACAATGCTGTTCGCGACAGTTGGTAAGTCGGGGTGCGTAGCACGAAATCAAGCCATCTTATCTTGTGGCGCTGGATTCATTATTTGAGTGGATTATCGTTCAACTCACGAAAAACCCTTCTCCTGCTACCTCTTTTCGAAATCATTGGTTCCAGCCGACTCCATCAGTGGTCAAAGACCTGAAGATGTCCCATATCATCCATCCGGATAGGTCAAGCCGTATTGGGGTACTAAAATACAACCCGTACTGTAGCCTGATATACGCGTTTTTCGATATCCAGTGATATTCCAGTTTGCGCCACAAGTGGCGCAAATTGGAAGGTGCAGTTCTGTCATTAGAGACTCATGTACTGACTTCATTTGTCACACTAATGTCAGAGCCAGTGCAACTTCCGAGATACATGTAGTGTTCCACAGCCTCCATGGTCATTCCTTGAATTCATGGAGGTATGTTCAAAGACTAAAATCATAACTTTACACTTCATGCCAAAGAACTGGATGACCTGATCAAGCTTTTCTAACAATACTTGCGCTTTCTTCTCTTCTCCGAAAATGAGAATAGTGTCGTTTGTATGTCCCGGATCGATAAGATCCTCACTTGGAGAGATCTGAACACTGGGATTTTGGAGGCCCAAATTGTACACCACTGTTAGTATGAAAACGTTTTGAGAGTTCTGTACACTCTTGGGCACCCACTTGGATGTGAAAACAGCGTAGGCTACTCACCCGTTGCACAGGCGTGTTAGGTAGAACCAACGGGCCGATAGAATCAAACGCATTATTGAAGTCAATGAGATCTGATTCTGTAGGGTGTCTATATGCGCGCTACGGCTCTAACACTTGGTGTCCGGAAGCCTGATCCATGTTTTCAGGTCTCGTTTCAAAAATCCTTCTTAAGAGGATGTAAAATAAGTGGTCTCTTGCACGCAGACAAGGAAAACGAGGCTGACGAAAGCCGACTGAGGGTTTTACTCCAAACCTTAAACAGAGTGGGTGGAGTTTTCTATAGGAATAACAGCTCAGTGAATTTAGACGTAGGTTAAGCACTTAAATGTTTCCGAAACAATCTGACCTCCCATGTTTATTGTTCAGGGTTCCTTGCGGGTGGGGAAATATATGGTGGCCAGCTGAATTGCCCTTGAAAGTGTTCGGTCAATAATTCATGTTTCCTTTTTAGAGCTGAGCGAGTCGTTTTTACAAATGGCTGTTCCAATCACCATAAGCTTTTGTGAACTTGTGTGAGCCCTGCAAACAGTACTCACACATTCCCTAGGGTTATCACCTATTTTATCTCTTCAGCTTTCCGCAACCAACAAGCTTCTTAGTCCACCCTTCTCTCTTTCTCTTCTGAGGTTTTACAGTTCGTTGAATTTTGCTGTGCTGTCAACTAGGAACAGCGCGTGTCTAAGCTTCAAGCGAGATTAAATTTTTGCCCGATATCGAGTGCATGTGTGTAGTTGGTTACCGTGTTCAGCAAGCATCTTCAGGGTTGCCGATACTACTTTCCAGTAAGTGTAGACACCAGAAAGTTTATTATTCAAAGGAAACTTCAGCAGTCGGTCCCGAAGGGTTCTCAAATGCCAGGTGAAATATGCTCATCTCTTTCGCTCCTGGAAAGCGCAAAGCGAAGTAATATCAAACAAGTGCGCAATCAGAATTAAAATAAGTATTCTAGAACGAATGGCGGTCAGAAACCGATCTACGCCACCTCCAGTGAATGGCGACTAAAACTTGAGCTGAATGTCATAATCGCAATACTTGGTGTATTCTGAAAATGTTGTGGCAGTGTGTTGAAACTGAAGTCTCAGGGCCTAAAACCGCCTCAAGTGTGCAGAGCCGATAAGTTGATACGAGTTTTGGTGTGACGCTGAGCAAACACAGAAGCCAATCCTCGTCCGATTCCCGAAGGCACATCTTGACCAAAACCATTCCGTGAGTTTACACTGAAACATTTCTGCCAGAAAGATGTTTACCACAATTTCATAACCTCCTTGTTATTACACGTTGGCTATATTTGGCTCATAACGAAGTCCTGAAAGCCAAAACAGATTTGGGTTTCAGAATATATCAGTGGGTTTGCAATGACTGACATTCAAAATCTACATTATTCCATTTATTTTGAAACAGCATTTGAAGTTCTTGAGTTAAATTTTTGATCTTATAACTTAAATTTTTAAGTGTAATTTGAACACAGGGCCTCCGGAATTCTTTTATGAAACTTCCTCCTGGTAATTTGAAGCGCAGCAATTATGGATGAAGACACTGCCAAAAGTGATTTGACTCTAGGCTTGAAAGAGACACCGTAAATTGTCAAAAGTTATAAGTTGGTAAGCCACAGCGACTTATGAGAAGCAACATTGGTTAAGAATTCATCGATTTCAGAAGTAAAACGTTTGGACAAAGTTTTTGTCCTATCCTATATCGTATAATTAATCTGTTGCATGCTTCTCAGTCGGGGCCTTATCAATCGGAGACTAAAATACTGAAGTCCGTCATTCAGTAGTGAAAGAGTAGAATCACTTTTGGATCAGGTAAACAACGAACTATCTGTATGCACTTTCCACCAGGGGAAGTTGTTCGGCGAATTTTTCATTGATAGTCCATTCTGCACATAAGGTCACTCAGTACTGAAAAATCGAGAAGTACTGTACAGCTGTTTCATGTCTGATAAGAATCACCAGTGTTGCGTGTGACACTCATTTCTAGGGTGGTTGGATTCAATGAATTACGAGCTAGTAGTCGAGGATAATTTGACTGAGGAATGAGTGGCGCTATATCCGGTCAGAGTGCAACGCAATCACACTGCTGATCGGCTGCTTGTGGCCAAGTGACATATTTTTCAACCACCAGTCGGGTGGCCCGGTTTCATGCCTCCCGAGAGATGAAATTCTCACTGATGATGATTCTCAAAAAGAATGAAACATTTTTACAGTGCCTGTAGGCGTCCGATCCTCTGGTGACTTTACTCCCAGGTTCTTTTCTCGAATAAAATTTCAAGTCATGTAGGTACCATTAACCTGGTACTCAGGTTGCGTCAAACCCTCGTAGTAGTTACTTTTAGTTCCACGATGTCATAAATAGCAGTTTTTTGAGGTTTTAACTGTACCCTACTGGTGAAAGTACCTAGAGAGCTGCGAAAGAAGCACAAACAATTCCACTGCAATTTTCTTTTGATGTGCGGGACCCAATATACCAACTCATTGGTCGCCAGAAGTAACAGCATGTCATGATGAGCATCCGTGCTTCAGCTTAAAACACCTACAAACCCTTTATTTAACTTGCACCAATTGAATAGCACGCTTTCTTGCACATACCCACTCACAAGACCTTGTTCTTCAACGTGTCACCCGCAGGTAGGCGACGTAGCTGAGTAAGCATTGATCGGAGTGGGTTAGTTTACATCAAACTTAACAAGCGATGACCTCTTTCAAAATCACGATACCCTCAGAAAGAACATCTTCTGGCCAAGAAGTTATAAGATGGTTAGTGAAGAAACCTAAAGAAGAGATCACGTATGACTTACTTGTTGGAAGACTGAGAGATATAATTCCCACACCGACGAGTGGGTACAATGTGATCTGGACTGGTAAGTCGAACCGGATTCAAGTTTTAATCAAATTTGAAGTTTTTCAGGGCAGATATCATATAGGGAGACACACTGTTTGACGTGAAAATGGAAATTTTCACGTCAAACGGTGTCTTCCTATATGGTATCTCTGGTACCTGTTTGCGAGCACTTCTGAAGTCCTCAAGTGTCTGAGCTACGCGCTTTATTATTACCATGTCTTGAAGTTGCTTTGAATGTCTCCTAGTGAAATTATGATTGTTGAAAAGATGTGTTGTTGAGTGAATATCATAGCAAGGCATAGCCTGTCAGCAGAACACTCATGAAGTAGAATCGAGATGTGTTCTTTAAAGGGGTGAGGCAACTTGGTCTTTTCAGTTTTCTTTTCGTATAGGGATACTCTACACTGAAATGCCTAGTTTAAAGAGTACGTGGTTTGATAAGTGATTTCCGTCGACTTTTGAATGCCATTTCTAGCCCAATTTGTGAATTCCTTGCGAATTCCTGGGTCAACCTGACGGCTAAATTTGCCGTTAAAAGGGAATGATCCCCTGGATAGTATGCATCAGTCAAATAACTGAATACATTTTGGAACGTGAGCTTCACGGGCTTGCCTAGGCGTTCGGGTCAACGGTAATAAATAAAAAAGGTCGCTGAGCTAAGTCGTTCCATGAGAGTCCACTTGTGTGACTGATAATTTATCTGTTAAGCCCTAGGTCCTAAGACGATGGTACTACTGAAAAATGATTTATTTGTCTTTTTCTAGTTGGATAGAGTGGAACAGACAGACAGCTTGCTTGGCGCTCATCAGTTAGGCGTTCTCCCAGAAAGCTGTAGGACCATTCCTGACTTAAAAATTTGTACTCATGGGTGTTTAATGTAGACTTTTGTACAAATTAATATCACTGGATCTGGAGACTTGAAGGATCTCGTTCATTCTTATTCAAAAAATGTCACCGGACGCTTTTCGACCAATGTAATGACATTAGAATTAAACCAACGAGGGTATACAATGCTACGGAAAAGTAGCATATATATATATATATATACGTGACGTTATCAGTGGAATAGAGTTTATAAGACCAGCACTAGAAAAAGATGCGCCACTGTCCAAAACAGCCTCAATGAAATAAAGTTTTGTCTGAGGAATGCGCCTGCACGTCATTCCAGCTGTGCGCACCTATAGAAACCAAAACCAAACACGGATTGCTTGGAAGTGATTGAATGTGAAACATGAATAGGTTTCACTCACTGGTTTCACGAATTAGAATTAAGTAACAAATTTCGGCGTCTGCCGACAACTTGGCTCTTCCCGGATATGGAGGGGGCGTGGGGATGCTTGGCTTCTCGGGTTCGTGATTATCGTACACTATCCAGTCTGATGAGACGTCCCAGCCACTCACTGGGATCGAATGATGATCTCTCTAGGACCTAATGTCAGGCATATTTTGTCCTAGAGACCCTTTTGAGAGCCTTTATCCAGCGCGTGATACAAAGCTAATGAGACGCATTCGGTCATACCAAATAGATAACAGGCAGTCTTTTCGGAAACTGGACACTTCGGCAAAGCAATGCTTATTTTACACCAGAACGATTGTGTTGTCAGCTTTGGTCAGATGGGATTTCCAAAAAGTTTCCGCAGTTCACAGAGTATGGATCAATAGAGTCTTAAGCCATTTGGACCTTTATTTTGACAATGTGCCCAACTATTTGGTTACGTTTTACTCGGAACCCTATTGTTGTGTTACCAACTTTATACATTAATAGCAGTTTCAAATAGTACATGACATTTACTTGATTCTTGTCTTGTCTTCGAATCCATAGAAAGTAAGCACCTAAAGTACTCAACTAAGCTGTTCTTGACATGTAATGAACATCGTCAAGCGTCGCTTCAGCTTGGTTTTTAGCTCACAGATACTAGACCTATTGAAAATTATTTCTACGGAAACATGTGTATGTTCATTATACAGAATGCCACAAAACATACTGGGCAGGTGTAACTTTTTTTCTAACGTTAATAAAGCTAAAGAGCTTTACAAAGCAGGAAGGCGCAGCAACTAATGACCGCCTGACTCCAAACGAGCGGAGAGGGAGATAGACAGGAAGAATAACCGGAAAAATTTGGAATGGGCTGAGGAAATGTGCTATTGCAATTATGATTATCTCAAGAGAGTCAGCTGACAGAGTTGAATTTACGGACTGCAAACCAGATAAGTCGATTTCAATTTTAAGATAGCATAAATGTGCACTTAATTAACTTTTTTGGAGAGACCCTCACACGTCCTATTAAATTATTCTGATGAGGCCACGCCAGAGAGGAGAAACATATACAAATTCCGACTTTATTAGAGCTCCTCAGTAGTGTATTTTGATGGCCAGGATGTGGACTCGATTCACGATTCAACCCGCGCACGCTGGAGCTATCACACTTAAATCATGACGGCAAAAAAGACGAACAAGTTCACTATTCAGCGATGTGATCTGCTCTCCCGACGCTTGAACTAGAACCTACCGTCCATTTATGTTGTGCCGACCTGCGTGTCACGACATCCCGGTCATGTGGTGCCACGAATGGCTGAAACATTTTGGGCAACTTTTGATTTGTCTTAGTTGGTTGCGGAATTTGTAGAATTTGCATTCATGGTATCCGTAGTTTGGATCCTAGAACGTCCAAGGTTATGCCCTGCTAACAAGCTCTAACGTGGAAAAAAGTTGAGTTTGGTACGCTCCTCTTTGGTAGAACCTCGGCGGCGCGGTTGCACCAGGACCATCTAAGAAGTATTCAAGCTGGAATAGTGCAAATGCAAATTCTACAAATACTTTAACCACTTACAACTAAAATCTTTTGCGCTGGAGGAAACTCAGTTATTGTGTTCGCTATACTAAACTGTAAGCCTCTGTCCCTTTTCACTTTGCCTGCAGTGAATTAGGTGTGTTGCCTTCAGGTACAAATATTTCCCTTTCTATAATAATAAATGGTATTTGCTCTCCGTCCACTTCCAGCATGCAGGGTTTGTCGCTCTAGTTACTTCCGGCACAAATCCGTGCAACAAATGATATTATTGTATCGATTTTTTTGTAGACGAAGAGAATACACACCTTGTGACCAACACTAAACAGCTGCATGAAGCCATTCGCTATTTCGAGGAAAAAAAGCTCCCAGATCGTTGTGTACGGTTGCAGGCGGAGCCCCGAGATGTTATCGATGTTGCAAGTGCCTTGGAGCTAATGGCTCTCCAGGCAGAACCACAATCTTGCCAACCTTCTTCTTCGACATCGAAGACCATCCCTTCCGATGAAACCAGAGTTCCAACTAAGAACTCAAATACACATCTCTTAGCGGACTCCTCTATGTTAGCCGCGCTCAAACGGGATCGCCTTAACAGGTTGGTGCTTCAGGCAAATGAATCCGTTACAATAGCTCCACAGCCGCCTTTTGACGCAGACTGGGATGTGATATCCAATGTCCAACACAAGGCAATACCTACTGAAGCGACTATGCTCAACCCAGTTAATGAATTATCATCTGTCCACAGTAAGCCTCAGTCAAGGACAGGAACTCACAACTCCAATAAATCAGCCATTAGCACCACACGTCATCCCGTGAACAGTGAAACATATATGAAAACGTTAGCCCACCCACTGACAGAAGGCAAAGAAATCCACGAGGGTGGCAGAAATTCGCCATACAAAATGAGCAGGAGCGAAATTGATACACTTGCCAGAAAATTCTACAAGATGGGATTCCATTTTGAAGAGAAAACGCTCATTTCGGTAATCGAGGACTACAAAGGAGATGCAAACCTGATACTGGATAAACTGACTCAAATGCAAAACACAAAGTGAGTTTTTGGCAAAGAATCAAACTGTACCAAAGACCACAGTCCTTTTTGGTTCCATGAAACCAAGCCACTCGAAACTCGCTTGGATCAAGTCTGCATTTTTTTATGCATGGCTGCAAGCGGTGGATAATTATGAAATGTTATTAATTATTCTTAAAAAGCATAGAGTGGGTATGATTCCTCTGCTACTTTATTTTCACCTGATAGCCAAAAAACTGTAACGTCCTTCGAGTGGACTGGACCCAAATATTATACATAAGCTGAGATAATATCCTTCATCTATGTTTGAAGACATCTTTGTGTAAATGATAAGTCCACCTGTCATTCTAAAGGCAAATGGGACAATAAATACTTTTGTAATTCATTGAGAGCACGAACATCCTGAGTAAGACATAGTCCATCGCAGTTGGAATCATAGCGGTTGCACGCAACATGCATCTAATTTTGGTAGCGTTTATTCCTTTAAAACCCCTTTGCTCTCCGTCAGGGAGTATAGATTTCATCAGCTATATCAGCCTGAGTTCAGGGAACTATGGAAGTCACAATAAGAACAAGATAAGCGGTGGAAACCTCCAAGCATCCCTGTGTGAATAGAATAGAGCGGGGAGAACTGACAAGCGTGTGGAGAGCGGTTTTAGATCAGCCGAGATGACATGAGGTGGAGTGCAGCAAAATAGTCTGGGTCTAAAAGTACAAAATCAAAGCAGAGTAAGATTCAATTAACCACCCCACTCCCAAACCCCAAACCAATTGTCCCGGTACTCCTCGAGGAATATAGGCGAACAAAATCTGTGAACAACCCCAAGAGGAATATTCCATTAAAGTGTCCGAGACAGAAAAATCAAGGCAACAAATATCCGGGTTCAACATGAAGACAAATCCTCCCTAACCAACCTATCGTAGATGTTAGTCAACACCACTAACCTACAAACGGAAACATCAGACCCACCCAGCACTGATCGAGCCGGGTGGGCATAAGAAATCTCACGGATTGGTTCTCTGATTGCCGTAAAACCCAATCAACCCGCTTAGTTACTTAATTGGCCTGACGAAGCCTCTGTGTCAAGAGCGAAACGTTGCCTAGAAATAAATCCACCGATTGTTTACCAAAACTCTACGAAACGATGACCACCCAATGGGTCCCAAACATTTTCCAATCGACTGATAAGCAATAACACTTGACTTCTGTTGTCCGTCAACTGGAATAACATTAGTTAGACGAATTAAACAAAGTTAAATGACAATTTAATGGAAAAGGCTACGCCCCGGCAACTCCATTTTAAGGGAGGGGATAAGGTTTTTCGGAAGGATCACATGATAGGTCAAAACGGTGACAGTAATATCCAATGGTGGGAGGCAGCTAGCTCTTGAGTAATGGTTATCCTAGAATGGTTATCTAGAATTGTTAATCCTATTGTACAGGGTACTGACCAATTTACGCTGATAAAAACTTCAAAAATGTCGCCATTAAAATGGTATTCTATACAGACAGTGACCAACAAAAAGATAAATTTGCACAGCTTTACAGTAAGAACTATCAGTTTAGTATCATTTGTATGTGGTAAGCTGGACTTCGATTTTCTTGGAAGATTTACTTACTGGAGCATCGATGCAGACAAACACGTCAGACAGATAATCAATTACTGTAGTACACCCTGAGATCAATACTTGCGTATGAAAGATGCAACTGCTCATGACTCAGGGCTTGGTTGCGTTTCGTACTACCAGGATGACAGGGGTTGTGCAATGGCTTTGGAGAAAGCGTCATACATAGAAAAGTTGTGCTCTGTCAACGCCAGCCGGTTGAGTGTGATTTCATCTCCGTTTACAAGCAGGCGAGGCAAACAAGGTCATCTAGAAGCATCATACATTTGTTGTTGCAGCTTTTGTTATTTTGCACATCGATTTGTTGTGCAGCTTGGACTTGCTTCAGCTGATGACATATCATACTGAATTTGTGGAAGTAGTCAATTGTTTTCATCAGTCATCCTCAGGATTAACTCAGAAGCAGTTAAAAGCACAACTCTTCAGCAATTCTTTTACACTTTGACGTGCTTCAGCCAACAGCCACCTCACCGGCTGCAAATATGTGAATGACGATCTGATTATTTTTTCTCGTACCTGGTGCTCCAAAACATATCTACGATTAGCGCCATTAAATAAGTACGAATATGGCTCAGTTCCTTGAGTTGGCGTTGTTTGTCAACGCAATCGCACTCCCAAGACTCCATAAAGTGCCCAATTCATAATTCGGTTCTTAGGAAACTACTACATCGACCACTATATATTTCATAAACTGATCCAAGACGATCGACTAAACGTGGATGCGCCATGTCATGTACAATCATTCTAGTAGTTTTCCTCCAATCTAACCGATATCCGTTTTAAAATATCCTCAACGCATTTGGCAAGAATGAGGTCGAACATACTGAGGACGGTGCGATGTTTGCTTAGGTTGGCTAGCGGTAAAAAAGACAAGGATGGTTGCATTTTTCTATGATTCAAGATTTCGATCATCGTGGGTGACCCACAGTGATTTCCAGAAGGAAATCTGCACTTATTACTGTATTTCTCTACCGCTGTACCGGCGGATACAACTAAAAGACGCTTGAGGATTTCAGTTCTTAAAAACAAGATGCATATGGGACGTTTACTTTGCTGTCCAATAGTTTGTAATTGTAGTTGATGTTTGGCAACGTTCTCGCAGCGAATGTCTTCGATTCTTTCACCGCCAACCAACCTCAACCGATACCTGATGGCATCAAACGTCTCTCTACTTCCTGTGATTATTCAGTTAAGCGAATTTTTGTCCCTTTTCAATGCCTCTCGCATTACTTCTTATGTTGCCCCATGAATATCCACGGAACAGTGTTTGTTCCCTATTCCTTCCACAGCAGGTTGTGCCCATCAGGTTCACAAGGTGCTCTACAGCACAACTGTTAGACGATGGAATCACAATATTAGCCAATACCGGGACGCGCCGATGTTGGCGTCCAAATACCGAAGGTACCGTTAGCTCACCTAATGTTTCAGGAGGCAGCATACTACTCGGTAAGGTGGTGCGCAACAGCAGCTTGTTGGCGGAGTTGTTCAGGGTTTCGTACGCTCGAGTTTGCCACACAAACACAACGTGCCCCGAATAGCAGATGCAAAGTGGCGGTGTGTAGGTTGTCGCTTCCCTAAGAAGAGTAATTATCTAGTAGGGCATGGGGGTTAGAAAGATGAGTGCCAGAAGCAGTATGAATATTTTCACTTATCCGCCTTGATGTATGCAGAGAACAAGATGATCCGACCGATGTGACATGGAGATACATTCGTTCGTGCACTTCATAGCTGGGTTCAAGTACTGAGCATGATTGGTAGTAGTGGGATAACCACGTCTGCCCAATGACCCAAAAGGGCGAAGTGGGCCACGACATGTTTTCGTCAACTTATGAGGAGCGTCTTCTGAATGTTAACTGACCTGACACAAGAGACGGTCTCGGTGCAAGACATTAAGCTGAAGAATATCGAGCTGGCCTTCACGTGAGTTGATCGTTAAAACCAGATTAATCTTAAACGTAGCAGGAGCCTGTATGCTCACCTTTTGTGTTGCTGTAAAAAGCAAACGTGCCGAAGAACAGGAACTCTGCACCTCCAGAAAAGTGCGCACCCTCTGGATCAAGCGGGACATAAACTTTTGGCCCTATTCGCAAAACCTCTCTCCACGGCTCCACTGGACATAAATAAGAGAAGCAAATGAATATGGATTCAACGACTTGCTTGTGATAAGAAGAGCAGAGTGAGAGAACGAACCGAGCGTCCATGGCACCAGTCGTTAGGGGATCTGCAGTTGGAGATGAATACTTTGGGTGATTCTTATCGGATTAGTGTTGTCCAGTGGGTGAACGAGTGAAAACTGCCAAATGCAAGCACGCGATCTATAGCTCGGCCGGATACCGCCCGTCAACGATTCATTTTCACTTTACAGTTTAAGTTCTTTCTAGTGTTAGAATCTACCGAGCTCCGTTGCTAGAGTAACCTATTTTTGCGGAGATTTCGTCCTGTAAGTGAAGCCAATTTGTACTGAAAAGAAGAGAAGCACTGTACAGCTGTTTCAACCCTATTGGGAACCATTAGCAGTGCGCATCTCACAAAACTCCGGAGAGTCTCGACTCGAGAAGTCGTGCTTCTCGGCTTTTCAGCATAGATTGGCTTTACTTACAGGAGGAAATCTCCACAAAAATCCCAAGTCTCCTCACACTACCGACAGAGTAACTTATTATTGTTTCTGATAATGACTGGCGCCTGGGTTTCGCTAACACCCGCCAGGAAACAAATCGTGTCCCTTGTTTCACGGAACAACAAACTAGCTTTCCGACTTATACATTCACCTTCATACCCATTTGGTTTCGACGGAAGGCTCTACTGAATCATTCGTTCATGATATTCTTCTCAACTTAATGTGCTGCACCAGGCCACCCCATGTTTCAGCTTGTAAGATATTTGGAATATCGAAATACATTGTATAGACGTAGCACACTACACATTGGGTTGCTGAAAATTCTTCGACAACCCACTACCGGTTTTGTCATTCTTGGGGCTCATCAGACAGGCAGTCGCCGACTTTATGTCAAACTTACACTCTAACTGAACCCAAAACGGAATTCGACTCATGCACTCATTTGCATACCAGTTTGGTTTTGAGGGGACTCACATGTAACCCAGCTGAATCACTCTTCTCAGTTTTTTCGTCACAGTTGGATTACTGTCTCGGCTCACTGAAGCTTCACTGCGCCAGAGTCGAAAGTGAGAGTAAAGGTCCACTCGACTGTGTCCCGAGAATTGCAAGAAAACCGGCTGAGGCGCGCGAATAGGGACAGGCATAATTGTAGTCTTCTTCATTTCTAAGTATTGTAACTATTACCAACTGACAGCATCGTAAAGTGTGGATATGTTAGGCAGACGTACAAACTACAGGTGACGCCTCATCATCATCGACAGCATGACATCAGTGTTCAACACCGATGCTTCACTGCCGTACAACCATGACTTATTTGAAAGCCTTATTATAAAGAAAAGAATAAAGGTGGACGGGGAAGGGACTTAGTGCTAGCT